GTGATGCGTCATATTCACACAGCAACAGCGGTGATGAGAGAGCGCGCTTGAGAAACAGTTTAGAGAGGAGAAATCAATCTACATATAAAATATTGGTTGCAGATTATTGGTCACTTTCTACATTATAAAAGTATAGTGCATCCACTAGTAATTATATATAAATAAATAGTTTTTTACCGATGCAAATATGTTAGAAACGATGCATCGCGATATAAATGACAACTTGTAGCCAATGCACACTTTTTAAACCGATGCATCACATTGTTAACTTTTTATGCCGATGCACCGAGCGAATCGGGGAATCTTCCCATCCCTAGTGCCCGGGCTACCGTGCAGACTGGTTTATAAACTAATTAGACATGCACTGTGTGATGTTAATTAAAAATTGGATATACGTTGCAATCCAATAGATAAGACCCCAGCACCCACCTGAGCAAGTATCATTAATTTAAGTCATTTGATAACTGTTGTTACTCTCCACTTCATCAGTCCCAGAGGCAGTGTAACAGCTCATTAATTCATGCTCGTGCAATGATGAGATGGACAAAGTTAGCCAATGCATGCCATTTTACACAAGTTATCAGGGTTACAGTGTACAAAAACTCCTGGATGGACTGACTTGAATGAACTGAAATAAAAGCAGAGTATAAACATTCTTCCTCTGTTTCTGAACTACACAGCACAGCGAGAGCACACGTCATGCGAGCACATCTCTCCGAACTACATTTCCCTTCTCCCGCAACACTGTCATTGATATGACTGCGATAAGTGCGTGCTTCTGACACTGCATGCTGCTGAAATCAACCACACACTCATCACAGCTAATGAAAATATCGACCTTAGAAATAACGAACGTGAACATTGAGATATGGCGAAATGCATACACAAAAATGCTTATTTAAAGGTCCCATATTGTCAAAACTGAAATTTCCTGGCTTTTTTCATGATAACCGAGGTCTAGAGGCTATGTAACTACCATATAAGTTTCAAAACAGTCAATCCACAGTCATATGCACACAGCCTGCATAAAGTAGCTGTGCCTTTTCACGAGCCGTTGTGACTTCAGTAAAATGTGACGTCAGAACTACTCAGTCACCACCCCGAGCACTGCCCACCACCGTCCCACCCTCCTTTTGCCAATCCCCCAGACAACATCGTGTCCATGCCATTGCTGAGCAACAACAACACGGAAACATGTAGAGAAAACACTGTTCAGTCGATGGATGTCAGGAAACTACATCATTGCACAGGCTTCCGAACAACATTAATATAAAAGACCAGTGGCTAATGTTCATTTATTTGGAAATACCACAGCAATTTAGTTCGACCTTAACCGTCTGTTCTGCACATTTCACAAGTGACTGCTTGCTGCAGTCCTTACATTGTTTGGTCTGACCTCAAATCAATTGATGACAGTGCCTGATGAACTGTGCCTGATTTTCATCAATCATGCACAGTTCAATGCCGGTTTTTCAAAGAAGCTACTCATCAAAGATGCTGCAGTCCCTACATTGTTTGGTCTGACCTCAAATATTCAATGGAAATATTTTGACCTCAAATACTCAACGGAATATAACAATATACTGACCTCAAATACTCAACGGAAACTGCTAATTTTTATAGAAAATATTAAAACTTCCTTAGATAAAGGTGGTGTAGTTGGAGCCATGTTCCTTGATTTAAAGAAAGCCTTTGACACCGTTAATCATAGAATCCTTATGTCTAAGTTATCTTGCTTTAATTTCTCATTACATACACTTAACTGGATAGAGTCATATCTATCAGATATATTTCAGTGTGTTAGAGTACAAAATCACCAATCCAATGATTTAGGTACATCAACTGGTGTTCCGCAAGGATCTATCTTGGGTCCATTGCTTTTTGTTATATATATATATATATATATATATATATATATATATATATATATATATATATATATATATATATATTATTTTGGTTAATGTGTCAGCATAGCTAAAAGAGAATTGCTTACAACTAAATGTGTCCAAGACAGTATGTATGTTTTTCTCTAAGTGTAACAGTATTATTAAAGAGCTGGATGTTTACGTGTCAGGGGTGAGGCTGCAGGTGGTGCCTCAATATAAATATCTGGGAATACTGATTGATTCTAAACTTACATTTAAAACTCAAGTTAAAAAGGTTTGTAAGCAGGTTAAGTTTAATCTTTATTTTATCTCTAATAAACTTAATAATTTTAAGTTTATTAGAGATTATATGTCATTAGAGGCAGCTAAGATGTATATGTATTCTATGGTTATTTCTCACATGACTTACTGTTTAACCACCTGGTCTCAGGCGTGTTCAGTGACTCTAAAACCATTAGAGTCCTTATACAAACGTACACTTAAAGTCTTCGATAAGAAATCCGTACATTATAATTATTGTCTAATACTGAAAAAATTGGGAAAACATGATTAAGTATGCAAATGTATGCTTGATGTATAAAATAATTTATGGTTTATCTTCTCCCCCTCTTAGTCAGTTAGTTAGTATTAGAACAACTGATTATCATTCTACAAGAGGTGCATTAAGAGTAGACTGTATCATACCGCTTAAACTAAGTAATTTAAGTCAGTCTGCTTTTTCTGTCAAAGCTGCATGAGAATGGAATACTATTCCGACAACTATAGGAGATAGACATATGCTTTATTTAGGGTTCAGTTGAAGAATTGGTTAATTCGTACTCAGATTTGTCAAGACTAGAATTTTATATTTGCTAGCTATCCTATTATTGATTGTATCTTGTTTGCATTGTCTTTATTTGATCCCATTGTTTTTTAATAGAATACTGTATGATTTGAACTATGTAATTATAACATTTTAGTATGTATTTTTAATTACATTTTATTTTAGGGTGACTTGTAACATCTTGTCCAGGGACTACGGATGTTACATTATGGAGCCAGCATAATCTGAAATCATAGTTTGTAAACGGTTATGCAACGCTAATGTGATCCTAACATGTTAGTACACCTTTTAGAGAAAAAAGTAACATTGTAAAATAAATTGTAGCATGTCAACTTACTGTATCAGTAGGAAAGCAATAGTTACGTATCTTACTGCATTTGGTGTTTGAAAAAAACCCCCATCAATTACCATTCTGAAACATCCTGTTGTAAGTGCGTTTGAGGAGGTGGTTGGTTGTCTCCTGTCGTCGCCGATTCGGGGTCTGAGTTCGGCTCAAACATGTAAGGCCGGACAACATTTCCCTCAGCAGTGACCATCATTACCGGTGTTTATATTGACCTTACTTTTGAGTATCACCAAGCCACAGCAGGCTACAGCATACATGACCCTAGTTACCGGTGGTTGGCCTGGCTGTGCGTCACTCAGAAAACATCAGGCCAATCAGAAGAGAGGCTCATGAATATTAATTAGACAGGCCAAAATTGACCTGTACTTAGCAGAGCTCCTGAGACAGGAGCTGTAAAAATATATTCAGATGGTTTTTGGTACTTATACCACAAATATATATTCTTAAAGGGTTACTCCACCCCAAAATGAAAATTTTGTCATTAATCACTTACCCCCATGCCGTTCCAAACCCGTAAAAGCTTCGTTCGTCTTCGGAAAACAAATTAAGATATTTTAGATGAAAACCGGGAGACTTGTGACTGTCCTATTGACTGCCAAGTAAATAACACTGTCAAGGCCCAGAAAAGTATGAAAGATATCGTCAGAATAGTCCATCTGCCATCAGTGGTTCAATCTGAATGTTATGAAGCGACGAGAACACTTTGTCTGCACAAAGAAAACAAAAATAACGACTATTCAACAATTTGTCTCCTCCGCGTCTCCATAGCACCATTTTGGAGCAAACAGCGTACACTGTTCTGTGTCAGCCGCACCACACGGATACGCTGTTTTTGTTCAAATCAAAGTGTAAATAAATGTAGAAAACGTATCCTTGTGGTGTGGCTGACACAGAACAGCGTACGCTATTTGCATCCAGCGGATACTCTCCAAAATGGCGCTACGGAGACTAATTGTTGAATAAAGTCGATATTTTTGTTTACTTTGCGCAGAAAAAGTGTTGTCGTCACTTCATTAAATTCAGGTTGAACCACTGATGGCAGATGGACTATTTTGATGATGTCTTTCATACTTTTCTGGGCCTTGACAGTGTTATTTACTTGGCAGTCAATGGAATCAGTCAAGCCTCCCGGTTTTCATCCAAAATATCTTAAATTGTGTTTCAAAGACGAACGAAGCTTTTACGGGTTTGCAACGACATGGGGGTAAGTGTTTAATGGCAAAATTTTCATTTTGGGGTTGAGTAACCCTTTAAGGACATCAAAACCTAAAATAAAACTCCAGAAAGGTGTAAAATATGTGACCTTTAATTTAACCTATTTTCATGTCCGCTACGGAGCGATTGCTCTAGACCAGGTGTCAAACTCAATACCTGGAGGGCCCCAGCCCTGCAGAGTTTAGCCCTAACCCTAATTAAACACACCTGATCCAGCTAATCAAGTCCTTCAGACTCAATTGAAAATTACATGGTTTGGGTGTTGGAGCTAAATTCTGCAGGGCTGCGGCCCTCCAGGAACTGAGTTTGACACCCCTGCTCTAGACTGTGTTTTACTCTAGCTGTATAAACACAAATGCTAAATGCTGCTAATATGCTTAATATTTCGCTCCTACATACGATGCAAACTGCTAATGACACTTATTTTAAACTTGTTTATGGTTGCTCATTTTTTAATTCAATTGGACCACGTAATATACACAGCGATAAGGATTAAAAGAGCATTCACTTATTAGATAGGTTGATTTCAGATGTTTCTGAAGCATGCTGCAACTGCTACAGCAAGCACTAGTCATAGATTTGAATGTTGAGCAGCGAGCTCATTGGCTACCGATACAAGAGAGAACCAGTCAGCTGTGCCATGTGATAATGATGTCATAATGTGAGATTGAGTTAGACCTATTGGGCTGCGCCATCTAGAGTTTCATGCCAGAACTTTGTATTTCTCTCATACATGAATCCTCATGTGGTACTTAAGAGTCACTTTATATCTGAAACTCTTTCCACAGTGACCACATATAAATGGCTCCTCTCCAGTGTGAGTTCTCATGTGCCTGTTAAGGATTCCTTTTCGGTTGAAACTTGTTCCACATTGCTGGCAGGTGAAAGGCTTTTCTCCAGTGTGAATTCTTATGTGGTCTTCAAAATGTCCTTTTTGATTGAAACACTTTCCACACTGAGGGCATGTGTAGGGTTTCATTCCAGAGTGAATTCTTGTGTGGTCTGCAAAGTGTCCTTTTTGACTGAAACACTTTCCACACTGAGAGCATGTGTAGGGTTTCTCTCCAGAGTGAATTCTCATATGGACTTCAAGGTAACCATGTCGATCAAAACTCTTTCCACAATGTGGGCATGTGGGCTTCTCTCCGGTGTGAGTTCTCATGTACCCGCTAAGGCTTTCTATTTGAGTGAAACTTATTCCACACTGTTGGCAGGTGAAAAGGCTCTCTTCAGTATGAATTCTCGTGTGAAACTTTTTCAACAATGTTGGCAAGTGTAAGGCTTCTCTCCAGTGTGAACTCCCATATGGACTTCAAGGTTTCCAAGTTGAGCAAAACTCTTTCCACACTGTTGGCAGGTGTGAGGCTTCACTCCAGTGTGAATTCTCATGTGTCTGTTAAGGCTTCCTTTTTGAGTGAATCCTTTTCCACACTGTTGGCACATGAAAGGGCTCTCTCCAGTATCAATTATTATGTGGACTTTAAGGTTCTTATCTTGATCAAAAGTCTTCCCACACTGAGAATATGTATAAGGCTTTTCTCCAGTGTGAATTCTAGTCCCTGTCTTTTGAGCCCTTTTTTGTGAGGGAGTCTTTTCACTCTGTGAGCAACTAAAAGATTTTCCTCCAGTTATAAATTTATGATGATTCTTATACTGATATTTCTCCTCCATTTCATTCAGTACTTCACTCTCCTCTTTCGGTGACATCGGGTCTAAGGTGAAAAAAGACAAATATAAATTAATCCTAATTTAATGGCACTAAGCAAATGTCCTCAAAACATTTAGACATGCAACAGATCAAAAACCAACATACTAGATCCTATACCCACTAAACTAAAGAAAAAGGGGTTAGATGTAATCTGCGAGCCATTTCCCAATATTGGTAACACTTCACTATCTTTAAAATGTCTTAATAATTGTCAAACTGGCAGTTAAACCATTGAATAAAAAAAAAATAAAAAATTTCAATATCACATTTACTACGTCTACTAGGGGTTAGGACACAATAAAGAAAGAAAAAAGAGAAAGAAGGGAAAAGAACTGAGCACAAATTCCCCATTAACTTCAAAATTTAGCAGCACATAGGTCTTCAGTTAGCCAAAGAGATGCCACATCACACCCCTCCTGATCTCACACCACTGGGTCCCTGTTGCAGCCAGAAATAAATTTAAGGTTTTGAAGTTGGCTTTTAGGACTGCCACTGGAGCTGTACCTCCCTACCTCAATTCACTCCAACAAGTGTACACTCTCTTCTGCAAGCTACAGTCAGTGAATGAGCAACAGCTTTTTGGCTATTTGACAGATCGCTTTTATTCTTCTATTGTATGTCGCTTTGGATAAAAGCATATACTACAGTGTTTGCCATGCATTGATTTATATGTGGCGGCCTGCCACAAAATTAACAACACTGACTGCCACAAATAGATTTTTCAAAAGTCTTTGACTAAACATGAATAAACATAAGCACTGCACCATTTAAAATCAAAACAAGGCACGGGTGTTTTTATATGAATGTATATTTGAAGTGAACTGACTGGCTTCAGAAAAGCTTTGATTTCATTTTCATTTCATTTTGCCTGTAATGCCTGTTTGAGCTCAGCACTGCTTTGATTACAGCCGGTACCAGGGAAACCACTCTATTCTGCTGCTCCAAACACTGGCAGAGAATGAATTTGCATTTTCAATAAGCCCATCTGCCATTTTCATTCTGATCAATGCAAAAATCGACTGATGTTTTCACATAGCATACACGGCAAGCAGAGTTGTAAATGTGAATTTTTTTTAATTAAAAAAACATGAATTTTTCATAATGTTTAGTGAAATTATTTGGTAGTCTGAGGGGGGCGCAACCAAAAAAGTTTGAGAACCCAGCGACAGCCCCAAAACATTTCTGCTCTAGAGGAGATCTGCATGGAGGAATGGTCCAAATTACCAGCAACAGTGTGTGAAAACCTTGTGAAGACTTACAGCAAACGTTTGACCTCTGTCATTGCCAACAAAGGGTATATAACAAAGTATTGAGATGAAATTTTGTTATTGACCAAATACTTATTTTCCACCATAATTTGCAAATAAATTCTTTAAAAATCCTACAATGTGATTTTCTGGATTTTTTTTCTCATTTTGTCTCTCATAGTTGAGGTATACCTATGATGAAAATTACAGGCCTCTCTCATCTTTTTAAGTGGGAGAACTTGCACAATTGGTAGCTGACTAAATACTTTTTTCCCCACTGTATATGCCACCACATATAGTGGTAGTGGTAGTCTGTGGAAAACACTGTACTAAATGCATAAATGTAAACGCTAATAATGGAAGACTGAGCCATTGCTAAGCAGTTCTTGGATAAATTAAATGTGTGTGAATCATTTGGGTCTGAGGTGTTTCAGTAGTTTTAGGGAGTAGGGTCTTTTTGCTATTGAAATTGACCAGATGTTTCCTGAAATTTCAACCCCTACTGAAATTTACAAGCAAAAAATAATAATAATTATATATATATATATGTAACGAATCAGCTCATGACAGGAAATATGAATAATTAACCATCACTAGTTATGATTTATTATGAATACTGAAATGATTTTAGCAAATGGCTGCAATATCACAAAGAGTGAAAAATTTAAGGGGGTCTGAATACTTTCCGTACCCACTGTATATATATATATATATATTGATGCCAGAACCTTGACACAAAGAAATGTTATGTAGTTCTATTCTATTTCATAGAATTTCATGTAGTCCATCTATTTCATCGTGATAACTTCTTTACATCTTATTAAAACTTGTTTTCCCTGTTTCTCCTCCAAAGGAACACTATCATTAGTTTTGACTGTTATGCTGACAATACTATATTCCCTTTTTATATTTCAGAATACAGAAAAAAGGGAGCCTCCAACTATGACAGACTTTTCAGAATAAACTCCCTCTACACAGACATTGTTACAGCATGCAAGACATTCTTGCACCCACAAAGTCAGCTGGCAGGTTTTAAGAGAATGGTGGTGGCATCAAAGGCTGGAATGTGACTGAAACAACACAGGAAAAGGAAAAACCCACCAAACGGGGATACAAATTTTTTGTCCTTGCAGATTCTTGGTGTAGTTATACCTGTGGCCTGTAGCACGAAGGGAGATGAACAAACTCTGAGATTCAGGGTAGGTTTAGAGTTGACAAAACCCAATAAAGCCGACCTGGTTGAGGTCAGGTTCACCGGGCTCACAAAGCTCGATATAAACGTTCTCTGTCAACTCAGAGTTTGAACCAGAGTTTGTGATTAACTCTGGAGCTTGTGCACCTGAAAGTGTGACACATTCAGCAAACAGCCAATCACACGAAACGTGGAGAGCGTCAGCAAAGCGTCAGCTGGATTCACTTCTCGCGAGAGTTGGCGCAATTCACTTTTCTGCTCAAGATTAAGATGTCATTATTAAAAATTAATTTAAATGCATTTACAAGGCAGGAATAAACACTTCTGCTGCAGCAGAAAGAAAATATATGGACTATGCAAAAGAATAAGCTGAATTTAATAATTGATATACTTTCACAAAGAGCTCAAAAGAAAATACATAAAATTTAGTCATTTTAAAAGCTTTATATACTGAAACTTATTTATAGGCAATGTATATTTTTTTATTAATTCAAACGCAAATTTAATATTAATTGCTAGCTCATATAATATTTTTAAATATTTTATAAATTATAATTCACATAATATTAGTATAATAAATCATTAGCAGCAAAAGACAATTTTGTCTCTAAAATTCAGGCAGTTTTGTCTGAAATTTTTCTAATCTAAACTGCTTTAATTTGAAGTGAGAGATATGGGGGAGTGGCTTAATTGCATATCATATATGTCACTTTGCTCACAGCTGATTGGTCCAGTTTGGGCTTGCGATCTCTAACTCAGAATAATGAGTAGCAATTGGGCAGGTTTTGTAATGAAAACCTGGCAACCATTTCCCTCAAGCAGGTAACGTTATTATTGCTAACATAGCGGATTTATCGAAAAATACATTGGCATCATCTGTATTAAAGAGAAACTAATCACTTCATCCGATGTTTGAGTGAAGAAATTAGCCTTGACAGCCTTACTTACTGGACTTCCTCAACTATTGGCTTTGTTCTCTCTCACCGGACTTGTGTGTGTGTAGGTGATGTAAAAGACGAAAGCAGGCATTTGGACAAAAGTGAGGCAAGGGAGGGGGAGACTCAAAATGTTTCAAGAGAAGTCAAGAGTAGTGAATGATTTTCTCTTTGTCTTTTGTTGTTTGATTAACATTAATGACAGACAGCTTTATTGCTGACCCTTTAAGACTGATTGCATGGGTCCAATATACTGATACACAAGGTTGTGTTGCTGTCTATGCAGGGTCAGACAGCTCTCAGATTCCATCAAAAATGTCTTGATCTGTGTTCCAAAGATGAACAAAGGTCTTATGGGTTTGAAAGGACATGAGGGTGAGTAATTAATGACAGAATTTTCATTTTTGGGTGAATTAACCTTTTAACAACAATCTTTCATGTTACTGATACGGTTTTCTTTCTCAAAAACATTCACTTGAGACAAAACCGACTGTTTATGAGGATACTCCCCAGGACAGGCATTTTTACAATTTTGTGTGTATTTGGCGCGAAAAATAACTCAATTTGGTATTGAAGGATCCTTAGATCCTCACGTGCAAATTGTGTTGTGTTTTAATTTTCATGTTTTTTTTTAATTAATTTATAATCATTTATTGATTTATCATTTATTTTTTTATTGTTTATTCATTTGTTTCTATATTTTATATTTCTTATAAATTTTTCCTTGCTTATGCATTTCCATTGTTGTTCAATCTCATGCTTGTGGGGTTTCATGAACTGTTTTGTCTGCATGAATAAGAGATAGATAAGGGGGAATGTTTCTGGAAACTCAAGGTTTATTGGATGTTGCTGTGAAGCAGTTTTGGTGTACATGTTGAATTTGTGCTGGTCAGACGATGTTTTAACATTGAGACATGCGCAACTAAGATTGTTCAATAAACTCGGTTACTTTTTACCATCATCACGTTGTCTCCTGCTTCTGCTCTTCTCTTGACTTTTCTCTGTCAACTTCTTGACTGACAGAAGACTGTTAAACACTCGTTTTGGGTATTTTTGGATACCAGACAAGACTTGCTGTTAACAGGATTTAGTAGTAATAGTGCTGCTGACTAGTTCTGTTACTGGACAAACTGATATCTTCTGACGGGATCTGGGGTCCGGGGCTGGGTCCTAAATATTATCTGGCGTGGAGACCCGATCTAACAGTATTCACAAGGTGTTTGCGAGGCAGCTTAACGTCAAAACTGACAAAGCCGAAATGACATAACAAAATCAAAAACTTTACCCGGGGAAGTTCTGAAATTTGGTTGATTTGGCACGGAATGACCCTGCTTCAACTTGTGCAGGTAAAACAGCAATGCCTGACATTGACTATGATTGTAGTAAAAAAAAAATATTCCTTTCAAATGTTTCTTTTACAAAAAAAAACATTCAGGATGCATCATTAAAAAGAAAAGTTTGAAATAATAAAATTGTTTCATTATCCTCACAACAGTCATTCAACCAAAATGACAAATATACCCATTCCTAATTTTCTTTTTTAAAATTTGCTTTTACATGTACATTGAATTTGCCTAAACCTGCACTAGGGAAACATTTGCCTCTCTTGGCCATCTTTAATGTTACTGTTATTTTTTTTTTATGTTTATGCACATAAAAACTACATAGTGCTTGTATTTTAATTTGTAGATACGAAACTGGGTGAAATTATTTCAATGTGTTTCAATAATTTTTGACATATGACTTATTCATTGCTTGATTCAACTGTTTAAACATGTTAATATAACACTGATAACAAATGTAATGTTGATGACTCAGATTTCTAGGTTTATAAAAATAAGTTTTTATAAGTTAAAAAAAATATATAAAAAAAATAAAAGATAATAATAAAAATTAACTTGAATGAACTAAAAAAAATGATCTCAACAATAACTCAATACCCTTAAAAATAAAAATAATAATAATAATAAATAAATAAATAACATATAGCAATAACATACTTGTCTATATACTTTCAATGTCCATCAATTCCAAAAGAGAGTCACCATCTAGACCAGGGGTGTCAAACTCAATTCCTGGAGGGCCGGAGCCCTGCAGAGTTTTGTTCCAACCCTGCTCCAACACACATACCATGTAGTTTTCAAATAAGAGTGAACGACTTGATTAGTTGGATCAGGTGTGTTTAATTAGAGTTTAATCTAAACTTTGCAGGGCTCCGGCCCTCCAGGAATTGAGTTTGACACCACCGATCTAGACTCTCCAAAAAGTCATAGAACACTTTCCAGATGGACCAAAATACATGAAGTTTATTTAAAAAAAAATAGGTAATCTTTTCTAAGGCAAGGCATGAGGTCATCCTCATTATCCATTGAAGACACGCCAGGACTTTCTTCTTTTTTCCAAGAACATGCAATTACTTTAAAGGGTTAAAGGATTAGTTCACCCAAAAATGAAACCCTGTCATTAATTACTCGCCCTCATGTCGTTTCAAACCCATAAGATCGTCGTTCATCTCCGGAACACAAATTAAGATATTTTTATGGAATCTGAGAGCTGTCTGACCCAGCAACGCAACTGAAATGTTCCCAAGTCACATGGATATGTTGTTTTCGTTCAGATCAAATTACAACAACGTAGGAAACAGATTCAGTGTGATGCAGCTGACACAGAACAGCATATGCTGTTTACGTCCAGCGGATATTCTCCAAAATGGCACCAGGGTGATGCGAAGGAGACGAATTGTTGAATAAAGTCGTTTTTTTTTTCTTTTGTGCACAAAAAGTATTCTTGTAGCTTCGTATAATTGCGGTTGAACCACTGATGTCACATGGATTATTTTACCGATCTCCTTGCTACGTTTCTAGACTTGGGAACATTTCAGTTGTGTTGCTGTCTATGCAGGGTCAGACAGCTCTCAGATTCCATCAGAAATACCTTAATTTGTGTTCCGAAGATGAACAAAGGTCTTACGGGTTTGAAACGACATGAGGATGAGTAATTAATGACAGAATTGTCATTTTTGGGTGAACTAACCCTTTAACAACAATCTTTCATGTTTGGTCATTTTAAAGTTCAGAGGACAAATATGTAATATACACAACCTGGGATCACTTTACCAATGATTTGACTTATTCAATATTTGAACCCAAAAACAATTAACTTTAGTACATTCCCACATACAATGGAATAAAGTTCCCTTCTATTGTATACATTTGTAGCATATATCAGGAATATTCGGGTTGAGGTGATGTAACTTAACTGGAGTGATATATTGTCTACTCAACCAGCTTTATACCGAAGCAGTCTCAAATGGGTACTCATTGTCCGAGTTTGGGCTTTTAAACATGCTATTTGCCACTCTTCCTCAGTTATATCAGCCTGCAGACCGCCATGCTTGAAGTCTGTCATTAAATGATTCTTTAGATTTGGCCACAAACTGTTTATATAACACAGATACCTGACCTCTACCTTTCAAACAGTTAAAGGGGTCATATGATGCGATTTAAATTTTTCCTTTCTCTTTGGAGTGTTACAAGCTCTTGGTGCATAAAGAAGATCTGTAAAGTTGCAAAGACTAAAGTCTCAAATCCAAAGAGATATTCTTTATAAAAGTTAAGAGTCAACCACACCTACCTAAAACGGCTCGTTCTACCATGCCCCCACATGTCTACGTCACGATGTGGGAAGATTTGCATAACGCCGCCCAAATGTTCACGCAAAGAAAGAAGGCATAACTTTTATTCTTGCTGTAGTATTGTTGCTGCCGCGATGTCGTGAAGGCGCTGTTTTTCGTTGTGAAAGCGAAACTACTTTGTTTGGCCTTCCAAAAGAGGACGATATCAGATTCATCATACCTGGACCTGATCCATGCTGGTCGGTGAGGAAATACATCAACTTCACGCTGTGGATCGCTGGATCGGCTTTCACCGTGGACGAAGCAGAGTCCAGCCCGGGATCGTCACATGTGGTTGCCGCAAGCCCGCCCGCCTCCGCTCACTCAAGCCAGTCTCCGCTCACTCTAGCCCGCCGTGTGAGACGCTGTGTTTCGTTGTGAAATCTAAACTACTTTGTTTGGCCTTCCAAAAGAGGACACGACTAGAAATCAGTGGTTAAGTTGTATTTACAACACTGTTCCACAACAGTACAACCCAAATATTCAGATGTGTCCAGCGCATTTTATGGAGGACCGTTTCCTGATCCTGGGAGAGTAGACTACAATGCCGGCTGTTCTAACTCACAGACTGTAAGTAAGTTTTTTATATATAAAGAATTTGCCACTGACGATTCAAACGTCAGTTTTGAGCAGTGTAGAGTAGCACTTGTTGTTTGTCATTTCTCCGATCACAAATGCAGACATGGTTTTATGTTTACGCGGCACGATACACAGTATAAGTCATTATAATCAGTAATTATGTCCACACTGGATGCAACAAATGCCTCGTTTATAATGGGTTTTAATGTTTTTGTCTCTTCGCTCCGGCCGGGACACGGCATCACAATATGGTAAGGGGCGTAACATTTCCGTCACACGCTTGAGGAATTCAGCCAATCACAATGCACTGGATAGCTGGTCAATCAGAGCACACCTCACTTTTCAGACCGATGAGCTTTGTAAAAATCAACGCGTTTCAGAAAGGCGGGGCATAGAGGAGAAACAATAATGTACAGTATGTGGAAAATAATGTTTTTTTTTAACCTTAAACCGCATAAACACATTTCATTACACCAAATAATGTTCTTTTTAGCAACATCATATGACCCCTTTAAGTGTAATATTTTCCAAAGTAGAAAGAGGAGGCTCAACCAAACTTTGACCTTGTCTTGATAGAATGAAGCTACGTAATTGCAAATATTTGAAAAAGGTCTTTTGCGGAATTCCAAACCTTGTCATAATTTCTTCAAAGGACATAAAGTTTCCTTCATTATAAAGATCAGAGACCTTACTAATACCTTGAATTGACTAGATTTTAAAACCTGGATCGGCTCTACCAGGATGGAAATTTTCATTACCAAAAACTGGTGAAAAGCGTGAGAGTTGTGGTAATTCACCTAGATGAGCAAGAGCCTCAAACCAAACTGTTATATTATTTCTGGTATATGGATTTTTAGAAATTAACTTCTTAGCATCAGCGGAATACAAATATAAATTCAAAGGATTTGGAATAGAGTGAGCATCTATAGATACCCAGGTCGGAGAATAATCTTTCTCAAAATAAAACATTGCTGCTCTAATTTGAGCTGCCCAGTAATACCATTTTAAGTTTGGTAGGTTTAACCCCCCTCTGTCATAAGGCAAGTACAGCAAGGAGAGCCTGAGACGAGGGCGCTTGTTGTTCCAAATTAAGTTTGTGAAAGTTATTTTCATTAGGACAAAAAAAGAAGAATGTGGAGGGAGGGATAAGAGATATAATTTGGGTAAGATTGACATTTTTTATTTAATGTCTAATTAATGAAATGGGGAGTTTTGTCCATCTGTTCAGCAGACCAGTTATAGAATCTGACATGGGCTTATAATTTGCTGATACAATTTCATTTATAGTTGGTGTCATTTTCATCCCAAGGTAAGTAAAACCTTCTTGTGAGATTGTAAAGGGTGACTGAACTGGGGGAAGAAGCATCCTGCCTTATGGAGGAACAACAACACAGATTTAGAATTATTTAATATCCTGAGAATTCTCCAAACAATTCAATGAAATTTAGCAATGCTGGGATAGACTGTTTTAGATTGGAAGAGAATATAATTATATCATCTGCGTACAATGAAATGCGGTGTTCTGAGGAGCCCATTTTTAATACCTGAAATATGTATATGACTGCGAATTGCCATAGCCAATGGTTCGATCACTAAGATGAAAAGCAAGGGAGAGAGCGGGCAGCCTTGACGTGTTCCCCTGTAAAGCCTGAAAGGGGCAGATATTGTTCCATTTGTTAAGATCTCAGCTGAAGGGTTAGCATACAGGATCCGGACCCATTTCATAAACTTATCCCCAAACCCCATTTTTTCCCATAGTTTTGAACAGGAACTGCCACTCAATCCTGTCAAACACTTTTTCAGCGTCTAATGCCAGTAGTGCATTATTGCAAATATTAGATTTCTCATGTAATATATTTAATACTACGAATATTATGCAAACCTTGCTTCCCCCAAACAAAGTGGTTTGGATCCATGTGAACAAGCTTGGGCAAATGTATTTCTAATATCTTTGCTAGCACCTTGCAAAGAATCTTTAAGTCATTATTCAGGAGAGAAATTGGTCTGTATGAACCACAATCAGTTGGCGTCTTGCCAGGTTTTAAGAGCAGAGTGATCACTGCAGTATTCAGAGAGGGAGGAAAAGCCCCATTATTCAGGGATTCCTGGTACATATCCAAAAGTGGGCGACTTAATTTATGATGGAAAATTTTATATAGCTCTATTAGTATGCCATCAGGCCTTGGGGTCTTCCCTCCTTCCGTACTGATAATGGCCTCAAACAGCTCCTCAGACTTTAGGTCATCTTCAAGGGATACCATGAAACCAAAATCTCTGGACCAAAGCATCCAGGAAAGCTTTTTGGCTCTCTGCGGCACTCTCCGAATATTCAGAGCTGTAAAGAGTCTGATAGTAGTTCCTAAATACCTCATTTATCTCAGTTTGATCAAATGTTATCTCCTATCTACCCTCCTTTATCTGAATGGAATTTATGGCTCTTTCAGTTTGTAACTGCTTAATATGCCAGGCTAGTAACTTACCCGCCCTCTCCCCACCTTCATAATAAGTCTGTTTTAGTCTCATCAAACTTTTCTTTGCATGTTCTAATGAAAGCTCATATTTAATTTTCAATTTGTGCAGTTCCAAAAGAAAATCAGGAGTATTTCTTTTTGGTATATTTCAGATTCAATTGTCTTTATTTTGCTTTCAAGGTCTACCATTTCTACTTGACAGCGCTTATATTTATAATTTGTGTAACTAATCATTCGTCCTCTTATAAAAGCTTTAAATGCTTCCCACCTGACTGAAGCAGATGTTTGATTCGTGTTTATTTCAAAATAATTATCTATCTGTTTATCAATGAACTCCAAAAATTCGGGATCTCTCAACCAAGTTATAGGTAAGCACCATCTTGGGGATCTGCATAAAAAATTAGGAAAGTTTAATGTAAATGAAACTGCAGCATGATCTGGGATATCAGATGCATATTATGCTATCATACCAGCATTTACTAACTTCGGAAATTAGATCAGTAGATAAAAGAAAGTAGTCTATGTGAGAGGATGTTTTATAAGTGCTAGAGTAGCATGAATAAGTCAAACTATCCGGGGGTCTGTTCCTCCATATATCTATTAAATTAAAATCTTGCATATACTGTTTTAAAGGTTATTTTATGCTATTATGCTTTTTCACTTTTTCAACTTTAGTTAGTCTGTACTGTTGCTGTTTGAGCAGAAAAAAGATCTGCAAATTTACAAAGCTCAAAGTCCACTTCAAAAGGAGATCTTTTATTTAACAGAAATCACTTTTCAAAAACTACAACAAACGACTCGTTTGGACTACAACGCATATTTTCCGGGATTTGTGATATCACAAATATCGACAAATGGGACAAGACCTGGTTGAGCTGCACTAGAGAAGGCAACGAGTGTTATCACTATATCGGAGACACGCTAGCTTTCCCAAGGCAGACAAACTTAGAGTGGTTACAATCATCTGGGTTTAAATCGCGCTCAAATTTATTTGATTTTGACGCAATATTTACACTGAAGCTCGCATGCGGCTATGGTAAGGGGCATGACATTTCCCGACCAGACGCCGAGTGGTACCAATCACAACACACACTGGCCCAGCTAACCCAGCTAACCAATCACAGCACATTTCGTATTTCAGAAGGCGGGCCTTCATTTGATACAGGAACTATTCGAGCCGTTCATGCCAGACTGGGGAGAGAGGTGTTGTAATAATGTATATGTGAAAAATAATGTGTTTTTCGAACAACCTAGTATGAGAGCATGTTCTAGTACACCCCAAAACAAAATCAAGACTTTGTAAAAGAGCATAATAGGATCCCTTTAACTTTTCTGGTCTGTAAATGAGAGCGGTCTGATTTAGTTGATCTAATTCTGGATATAGAGCACAATTAAAATCTCCTCCTATAACAAAATATCCTGGCAGTTCAGCCAATATCAAAAAATTGATTTCAGTAAAAAAGTAGGATTATCCACATTGGGCCCATAAACATTCACTAAATTCAGTCTAACAGAAAGGATCTCGGCTTGGATGATTATGTACCTCCCCAATCTGTCCTCAATAGTGTTAATTATTTGTAAAGGTATAAATGTATGTATAAGTATAATAACCCCCCTAGAGTATGAATTAAAGGAGGCCGAAAACACTTGTCCTGGCCATCTCTTTCTCACCATAACCACATCCTCTGTGACTAAGTGAGTTTCCTGAAGGAACACTATTTTAGCTTTCACTTGCCTAATTCTGTTCAACACTTGTTTTAACTGTACAATTTTCTTTAAACCTCTTACATTCCAGGATGTAAATTGAATATCAGGCAGGGGAACCATTATCATATATACAGTGTATTCCCGTTCTTGCAAAAAATACTAAAGTAAGTATATAGACTATTGTTGTGAAGAAGAAATTGTATAAAAAAACACACACACACAATAACAGATAGTAAAAGCAAAATACAGCCAAACAGAACAACTGGCCAACAAACAGATATTTCCCCAAATGAAACATCATCACCCCTCCTCCCCTCCCCTCCCCTCCCCAGTTAAACACTTCCCATGGACTTCTCGAAAGAGCCTGATCCACCCGCGATCTTTTCACGGTGAGGAACAGCTTGTCTGATGGCTGGACGGGTCCCGCAACAGTCAGAAA